TCTACTCCCGTAAAGATTTACACCCTCGGAAACCCTGTACAGGGTCGCTATGGGTCGGAACCGACTCAACGGCACTTAACAACAACTATATATATGAATGAATCATGGTGTGGTTAATGCTGCTGGACTGCAAAGTCGGCAGTTAAAACTCATCAACCGCTGTTCAGAAACCCTATATAGAGGGTCGCTATAGGGCAGAATCAACTCGACAGCACTTACCAACGTATATGAATGAAGTCATTTGTCATTTTGGAGATGATTGATTTTTTTCCCCCTCCCCCATTAATTTTTAGGGAAATAGGAGATCATTGGCATTTGGCAATTCAAGAAGCAATTTTAGAAAAATGCAGTGATAATGATGGCATTGTTCATATTGCAGTAGACAAAAATTCACGTGAGGTAAAGTAACTTTTAGTACTGAATTCTAGTTTTTGTGTTTTTTTCCTATTAAACTGACTCTTTTCTTTCTGTTTTGCCACAGGGTTGTGTATATGTTAAATGTCTATCTCCAGAATATGCTGGAAAGGCTTTTAAGTCATTGCATGGCTCTTGGTTTGATGGTAAGAAATTTGAATTTTTACAGACATTTTAAAAAGATAAATTATCGCTCATTGTTAAATTATATCAGATTTTTTTAATTTAAAGATTTTTAGATTAGAATTTTTAGAGTGATTTTAGATATATGTGTTTTTGTATTTTGCGTCCATGTGTCTTTTACCAGTTTACTTTCTACAAATATTTTACAGATCTAAAATATTATTTTTATCTTACAACAGGGAAATTGGTTACAGTAAAATATTTACGACTAGATAGATATCATCATCGCTTTCCCCAAGCTCTTACTTGCAACACTCCCTTGAAGCCATCAAATAAACATATGAACTCTATGTCTCATCTTCGTCTTCGGACTGGCTTAGTCAGTTCTCAAGGAGGTTCCTGAAAAGTCTTTCTACTACACCTAGGACTGTTATTTACAATAGGAAAATTCCTGTTTGGCTTCCTGTCTTCCTTTTTAAATGCTTTTTTGTATGTAATATTTTTATTAATGAGTACAGCTCTGTTTGAACGTTACAGAAATCTTAAAGTTCCAAAGGGACTTAGCAGTGAGGCAGCAATGCTGAGTAGATAGAATAATTGTTCCATTCAGTTTTTGGAGCTCAGTTAAGCCAATGCATTTAAAGTTTTGCATGAGGAACATTGACTTTATTAAATATTTTCAGATATGGTGATTGTATTTTTGCACCAAGAAGTGTTTGGATAACCACACAAAAGCATGGTGAAGAGGCTTCTTGTATTTCCATAATTTCCTGTGAACTAATGTTGTGAATTTTTGTATATAGCCACTTGCATAGTTCTTTACAGGCTTAGGTGGTAAAACTGTTAATTTCCCATTTTAACCTTAGGTTTCTATGCTTGTAAGAGATTCATTTGCCACAGTTGGAAAATGGGAAAAATAATTTGAGTTTAGTGGTTGCATATAAGTGTAAGGGGATGTATATGTTCTTAAACTGGCTTTTGTATATATGTATAAATGCTGGTGGTGGCAAAAGTAGTTTTGTTTTGTGAGGATGCCTGCATTAAAGCAGTAAAATAAGCTTCCTATTTTATTCATAATCTAATGTGTTTATATATATATATATATATGTATGTATGTGTGTGTGTATGTATGTGTGTGTGTATGTGTCTGCACTCTCTCACACACACAGATACACACACACATGCGTATGGCTGTACTATAACAGATCAAACAGCCAAACACCTGGAAGTATTAGATATATGTTTAAAATATCTTTTATAGGTTTTATATAAAAATGTCTGAGTATGATTTTATGTGAAAGTTCTGAAACCAGTTGTAATGGATTCAAATTTATGTGAGCAATAAAGAAGCAATTGGCAGATATTGAAAAAATATTTTGTGAAAAGCTGTATTTATTATAAATACTAGGGCTGTGACATAGTACCATTGGGATTAAGTCATTTTCCCAATCTATTTATAATTTAATGATATGTTAGCTCCCCCTCTCCCTCTCGTTTTATGTCAAGTTTAAAGCAGGGCACATTGTTACAGCAAAATGTGTATTTGACAAATTATATTTGCAGTTTGGGATTATAAAAGTTTGCAAAATAGTAAATGCACGAGTGACTGTTGGCTTTGTGCCTCACTATTTAATTTGTAAAGTTGCTTTATTGCTGTTTATGATTTCAGATTAAAATAGCTGTTGAGCAAAGTTTACTTGTAATCTAACAATTGACTTTTTTTTTTTTTTTTTTTTTTTTTTATAACCTGTTGCTATAACATTATCATTGTCAGTTTAAATCAGTATGTGAAACAGCTGGAATTGTACCAATTCTGATTTTGTTTAAAACTCAGTTTCCATTTTGTTTTATTGTATATGTGTTGGATTTGCAGCATGAACTTGCACAGATAATGCACGTTTTCTGGTTAAGTAAACATGATGCACACTAGTCTGTAACAGAAAGCCCTATTGTGCCTTACCTATGTGCTTTTGTGGGCACTATGTTTATGGAGAATAAAAATGATTTGTTATCTGAAAAGAATAAATTTTAAATTCTCAGTTTATGTCTCAATTGCTAAAGTGTGAAAATCTAAATATATATATCTATATATATACGTATAAATATATATATAGCTATATATATATAAAGTAACCAATTTTTCTGTATTTTATGTGCATCATAGTGATTTATCTGAGCTTTGTGACCCCATCTTGTGACCTTTTGCAAGAGTGAATGTAAAGGATAGTTGTGGCATCACTTTTGATGCAGATGCACTTTTTTCTTCTAGAATATATTTCGTGTAAACATTGTAGATTTATTACTGTAATATATGTATATATATATATATATATTATATATATACACACACACATATACATATATATATATACATATACTATGATGCAGCTTATTTTACCTGAAACTGTTAAGTCGACCAAGATCCCTCCCTGCAAGACAGATGGGAATGTATATAATAATATCTGCAAAGTTCTGAAGTTTGATATAATCTGTTACTTGTACTGTTAAAAAAGAAAAGAAAAAGAAAAAAATTCTAATTAAAAATTTATTAGGTTTTTTTTTTTTTTTTTTTAATGTGTCATGGCTTTTAAAGAACTTTTAAAAGTGCCCCGTGTCATTATTTTTTATTGGTGAAAAGAGGTGCCTTTAAAAAAAAGGTCTGCTATATATGGGGATCTGTGAATAAGTATGTCCTTATAAAGATGCGTGAGGACCCCAAAGCTAATTTGAACCATTTGGTCTTCAACTTACTTTACTTTATGCAAATGCCTTTTTTCATTTCTCAACTGTGTGTATCAGTGTTACTTAAATTGGGACAAGACCATAGTCAGCTGTATCACTAAACACCAATTAGTCTACTGGATTTTTTTTTCATAGTAATATTTTCAACTCCAAAAAAGGAAGCAATTCATTTGCATTCTGGCTCAAACTTATCATGAACCAGGAACATGGGTTGACTACTTTTGAGTTCCACTGGTATAAATCTTTTTGATGGTTTGAGTTAAAAGACATGCTTAGGTGGTAGCTTTTATTGATTGCTAACAACAGTCAGGCACTGTTATTTATTAAAGGTGTGCTGGTGGTGTTGTATGATAAGCACTGGTATGCTAACCACAAAGTTGGCAGTTCAAACCCACCAGCTGTTCTTTGGGAGAAAGATGAGACTTTCTGCTGTAAAGATTTACCACTTTGGCAAGGTTGCTATGAGTCGGAATTGACTCAACAGTGATGCGTTTGGTAATTTGTTAAAACACCCTTGGTGGTGCTGTGGGTTAAGTGTTGGGGTTAGATGTTGAACTGCTAATCACAATGTTGGTGGTTCAAATCAACCAACCGCTCCAAGGGAGACAGATAAGGCAGTCTGGTCCCAGTCTGGGAAATCCGATATAGGGTTGCTATGAGTCAGAATTGACTCTTTGACAATGGGGTATGGTTATTTGTTATAAATACAAAAGTGAAAAAGGCTTGCCTTGATCCTCAAATGATCCCAATCTAGAGCAGGAACACTGAGTTAAAAGATAGTATGACAGTAAGAAATATACAGAGTGTACTCTGGGAGTGCAGGGTGTAATAGGAAAAGACATCAGGGTCAACTTTGTAGATGAAGTAACAAGTCATATTTTTATTCAGTTTAACATTAGCATGTATTATTAATCAGTATAGCTACAAAAGTTCGTGAAAAAGCTTATCTTTTCGTTCCATTTTTCCATGAGCTTTTGGAAGCCCCCTCATACAAACAAAAATTACTTTTCACTAGAACTTTCAGGGTAACTTCCATTCTTGTGATGAGCTTATAAAAAGCAATGTATGGAACCTGTGTTATAAAAATTCATCTTATACTCATTGGTATGTTGTTAGGTGTCATTGAATTGGTTCCAACTCACAGGAACCCTATGCATACCAGAATGAAACAGTGCCCAGTTCTGTGCCATCTTCACTGTTATGTTTGAACCCATTGTTGTTACTGCCCTGGGGGTTTTCCTATTTTTCACTGACACTCCATTTTGCTGTGCATGATGTCCTTCTCCAGGGACTGATTCATGTCCAAAGTATGAGAGACAAAGTCTTGCCATCCTGGCATCTAAGGAGCATTCTGGCTGTACTACAAATGCATCAATTCTTCTACACACTTCCTTTTTCATTGTACCATTTTCGTATGCAGATGAGGTGATTGAAAATACCATGGCTTGGGTCAGATTGTATTTTCATGAAGACCTTTCAAATAATTGAAGCCTAGTTTTGAACTTTGAGATGTTTTCCTTGTATTCACTGGATGACAAGTTATGATTTCCAATTGAACAATGTTTTGTTGTGAATATTTCTCTTAGTAAGATTGACCCTGTAGTTCTCGTTCTGTGATCTTTGTGATATCAAACAACTGTAGTCACCTGCATGGCCTCTTCGCCCTTTTTTCTTAGACTTTACCTCAGCAAGTAACTCAAAATGACTCAACAGAGGATACTTAAGCAGAATTTTGCCAGCTTCTCTTTTGGAAAGGATAGTCAAGAACAGGTACTTGAAATTGAAAATATTTCAAGTGTGAAAGTTGTGGTTTAAAGAAACTGTATGTATAGGCTGTGATTCCCTTGGCCCAGATGACATAACTAACTACTGCAGTGATGTGATGTTGTGGTTGTTGCTAAGTGCCGTCAAGTCAGTTCCGACCCATAGCGACCCTGTATAGGGTTTCCAAGGCTGTAAATCTTTACAGGAGCAGAAAGCCTCATCTTTTTCCCACAGAACTGCTGGTAGTTTCGAACTGCTGACCGTGAGGTTAGCAGCCCAACTCGTAACCATTACACTACAGTGATAGACACTGGAAATCTGCACATGCTCCTGAAATTGGGAAGATGAAAATCTAGATACAAAGAGTACATGAACAAAGATCGATAAGCAATCTGGTGCATGTGTAAAATACAAGCTATTTCTTTGAAGACAAAGCAGCTAATATAGATAGGAAAGCAGGCAATGGTCAGATCATGGAAGACCTAGTATGAAGTTTGATGTTAACTTTATGAGAAAGTGCTGGTAAAGATTTGTTGGGATGAAGAATTAAAGGACTTAATAAACTGGATGTCTTATTTTCTATCATTTAGAGACTATGTGATGTCTTAGTTACTTAGTTCTGTATATAAAAATACCACAAATGGATGACTTTTTAAGAACAAATTTAATTTTCACAGTGTTTAGGCCTGAATCCAAAAGTCAGAGTGTGGCACTAGGAGGAGTCCACCTTTGTCTATTTCAGCTGCCGCTGTTAAGGGCTGTCGAATGAACTTTAGGATTCAAACCAGCTTTTCAGTCCAGTGCATTAACCCACAGTGCCATACCAGTGCCCTCTAATCGGTTCTTTATTTGTAGCTGCCCTGTATAGGTTTCCAAGGAGTGGCTGATGAGTTTCAACTGCCGACCTGGTGATTCAAACTGACCTTTCAGTCTAGTCTTTTCCTAAAGCGCCACAATCTCTGGGGGTTTCTGGGTTGGTAGCTTCATCTGCCTCCCTTGTCAGATAGGATCTGTTTTCCCTTGTGTGTAAGGTTGCCTGCTTCTGTGCCTAATCCTTTTTTGTAGCAC